GAAGCTGCTGCCAGACACTGGAGTTCCTCCTGCCTGTCCTCAAGGACGTCCGTGCCAAGGGCACACTCACCCCCGACGGACGGAGGACAGACAGACTCAGACTCAGCGACAAGACTAGCAGCGTAGTCTAGGCGACAGCGAGCAGCAAAGTCGACGAGCTCAGCAACTAGGGCAGACGCAGCAGTGGACTCGAAAGAAGGGTCAGTGACGACAGTAGCCAGGAGACGCGTGACAGTAGGACTGGCAGCACGAAGAGAGTCCGACTCCGGGTCGGCAAGAGCAGGAAGAGAGGACTCAGGAGGAGAAGGCAAAGGGGCACGCAGAGGAGCAGTGGACGGACGCAGAGACATCCTGTGCATGCCAGGGACAGGAGGAGGACGCGGACGCGAACCACAACCACTAGCGCGAGCAGCACGGACAGGCGACGTAGGGCGAGACGCGGGCTCACGACGCTCAGCAAGACCCCCAGTAGGACCAATGTAGGGAGAAGGAGCAGGCAAAGGGGAGGTAGGCTGCAGCTGTAACTGTGACGGGACAGGCTGTGGACACTCTAAGGGAGGAGGAGGACCAGTAGAAGGTGGAAGACCAAGAACCTGCTGCAGGAGTGGAACGAAGTACGGTCGAGGCCGCGTGGCGACGCCAGACACAGCAGGGACAGCACCAGTACCTCCAGCAGGAGCACCCGCTCCAGCAGCACCTCTAGTACCTCCAGAACCTCCAGCAGCACGAGGAGCACCCCCAGCAGGACCGCCAGTGGTAGTCTCAGCGCCAACACCCTCAGCAGCACCAGCTCCAGTCGAACCTGCAGGCCCAGCAACTCCAGTACTCCCAGGACGAGCACCTCCGGGACCCGCGACAGCAGCACGCTCAGTAGCCGACGAACCTCCAGCACCAGCAGCACGGCTCCAGCGCCGGGCAAACCACTCGCGCAGCTCCTGTGGAGAGAGTGGCTCCCGGCGAGACGAAGCACCCGGAGAACCTCCAGGCGGAGCACCTCCAGGCTCAGCACCCCCAGGCTCAGCACCCCCAGGCTCAGCACCCCCAGGCTCAGCACCCCCAGGCGTAGCACCCCCAGGCTCAGTACCCCTAGGCTCAGCACCCCTAGGCTTAGCACCCCCAGTAGCCGAAGAACCTCCAGCACCAGCAGCACGGCTTCAGCGCCGGGCAAACCACTCGCGCAGCTCCTGTGGAGAGAGTGGCTCCCGGCGAGACGAAGCACCCGGAGAACCTCCAGGCGGAGCACCTCCAGGCTCAGCACCTCCAGGCTATATGTTCTGACAGCGTTTAGGCCCCTTTTAGATAAATGCGTGATAGCTTACCTTGACGACATTCTCGTTTACAGTCGGGACAAGCAGCAGCACTTAGTCGATCTCGAAGCAGTTTTTAAAATTTTAGCGGAACATCGGCTACTCACCAAGGGCTCCAAGTGCGAGTTTTTTTGGGACAGGCTAGAATTTTTAGGACACGTTATTTCGGAGGCTGGAGTTGAAATCGACCCTAAGAAGCTGGATACTGTCAACGCGTGGCGTCCCCCGACGAACATCACGGAACTGCAGAGTTTTTTAGGGTTCGTTAATTACGTCCGTCGGTTCGTCCCCGACATGGCACGCTTAACAGCCCCACACACAGATTTACTGCGTAAGGGGGTCGTTTTTACGTGGGGGGAGAAAGAGCATGCTGCCTTCTCTGCCCTGAAAACTGTTCTCTGTTCACCACCCGTCCTACGCATCGCTGACCCACATCGCCCCTTCGAGGTTTTTACAGACGCGAGCGACATCGCCATCGGAGCCGTACTGTTACAGGACTTCGGCAGCGGCCTCCAACCCATCGCCTACGAATCACGCAAACTGCATCCGCCTGAGCGAAATTACCCGATACACGACCGCGAAATGCTCGCGATCGTGCATGCATTCAAAGTGTGGCGCTGCTACTTGACCGGCGCAGACGTGACAGTACGGACAGACCATCGATCCCTACAGTACCTCCGTGCATAGCCCCACCTCAACCCACGACAGATTCGGTGGCTCGACTTCCTCGAGTCGAACTTCCATTATACGGTCACCTATAAAAAGGAGCCTCCAATATCGCCGACGCACTGACCCGCCCCACTGCCCAGATCCATTCGATACTACTCGCCCAGACCAGTCCGCTACTGACAGGACTATTTACCCACGGATATCAAACAGACCCATTCTTCACAGGAGGAAACTCGCAGCAATTCGCAGCAGCCAAGGGAGTCTATTACGTAAAAGCTGGAACCGACCGCATCTGGGTACCAGGGTACACACTACTACGGGAATTACTGTTACAGGAGGCACACGACGGAGTTACCTCGGGACATTTCAGAGTAGAGACAACACGGCAGCAGCTGCAGCGGTACTATTACTGGCCTGAAATGTTGACCGACGTGCAACGACACGTGGCATCGTGTCCCACTTGCCCGCTCATGAAGTCAACCAGGAAGCGGCCCGCGGGACAATTACAACCAATCCCACCTCCAGAGCGTGCTTGGCAACAAGTGACGATGGACTTCGTCACGGGGTTACCAGCCGGGGCGAGTGGGAATGACGCGATCCTGGTCGTCGTCGATCGACTGACGAAAATGGCACACTTCGCAGCCTGCAAGAAAACAATCACAGCCGAGGAAACAGCCCGACTCTTCATCACCACCGTCGTTTGACTGCACGGGATACCAGCATCGATCATCAGCGACAGAGACACGAAGTTTACCAGCAATTTCTGGCGGAACCTGTGGCAGCAGTTCGGCACGCGACTACAATTCAGTTCATCGTATCACCCCGAAACCGACGGACAGACAGAACGGACAAACCAGACCATGGAGCAGCTCATTAGGGCCACGTGCGACGACCCAAACACGTTGGAGCAGCAGCTGCCACTCATCGAATTCGCATACAACAACGCGCCATCTGCCACGACCCAACAGTCGCCGTTTTACCTGAATTACGGACAAGACCCCACAGTACCCATGACCCCAAATCCCGACAACCCCGTTCCACGTGCGCAACAATTTGCCGAGATTTTGCAAGCAGCACGGACCAGGGCAGCAGAAGCAATCAAAAAATCGAACATAATCGCTAAACGCAACACCGACCGCCACCGCAGACCTGTCACTTATCAGCCCGACGACCTCGTTTTACTCGACACTCAAAACCTCCGCCTGCCCATCACTCCAAAACTCCGCCCCCGATACTGTGGGCCATTTCGAATTAGCCACATGATCACACCTGTCACCGCGCACCTCCTCCTCCCTGCTGACTGGTACGTCAGCTCCTCGTTCCACGTCAGCTTGCTTCGCCCTTACGTACCATCCACCGGCCAACTCCCACGACACCGACCATCCAGCATGGCACGACCACCATCCGAACCAATCATCACCCCCGACAAAATCCTGAGTCACAGAGTTCGCGACCCCCGAGGAGCCCGAAAGATCGAGTTCCTGATCCGCTGGAAAGACCGTACACCTACCGAGGACAACTGGGTTCCCCTCGACAGAATTGAAAACCACCCTGTCCTCACCGAATATCTGCGCAGCCGAAACTTCAAAGATGTCCACACACTTTCGTAAGAAGGACCTCCTTAGGAGGGGGGGGGTAGTGTAAGGAAAATCCCTTTTCCTTACTTCGCATCCCTGCTCAACGCGTACATCACTGTAGCACCTCAGTCAGCACCGTTACCACTCGCGATCATCGCATCGACAATCATCCCGCCATTTGTCGCACATCGCATCCCGACCTCACGGCTCGGCTGGTAACCCGCGCTCCGGGCCTACGCCTCGACACTTTCCCAACCTCAGTCCCAGGCTCGTCGCGCGACTACCACAGACCATTACCGTTACCACTGTAGTTTCGCTATATATTCTTCGCTCACACCCTCGCTCATTGTATTCTTGCTTCGATAGTGCAATTCTCGTTCGTTCACTCAATTGCACTCGTAACAGCTATAAACTTTGAAAACGAGGGGAGGGAGAGTGGGGAATGACCATGATTGTAGCGCACACCATGAAACACTGCCTTCCTACACTAATTCATCCTCCTTTAGTCATCCAGCTTGGTTCGTTAGCCGACGGATGCTGCCTTGCGAGGCTGATGCGGCACGTAAAATGGCAGTCGCAGCCAATCATCAGCGACCTTTGATCGCCAAATTCACCGAACCTGGTGGAGGCACAGAGAGGCACGGGATGTGATGAAATCAGCGGGGAGATCGTGCGACCAGTAGCTTTCACAAGTTTCTCAAGACGACAATCCCAAAACATAAGTTCCCTGTGCAGTCTTACGCGCACTCTGAAGCCTAAATATGTACCGGCCCCGACGTTCTAGCTGAGCAGCAGCTAGTGAGCAGCAGGGAGTGATCGTTATCTTCCACGATTCGCGTTAACATGGCAGAAATCGTTTGCGTTTATAGCGGTCCGCTTCCTTTCGAGCTCGTGGCTGTAGTAGGTTGAAGTAGGACTGAAGCTACGTGAACGGTAACAGCAGCAACTTCGGGTGCGTTTTTTTCCTCGTTTCAGGCTTCCTGAGACTAGGTTGGTGACCGCTGCGATATGTAGACATCAGTAACATAAGAAAATAGCAGCTGCTTAATAGCTGACACATAGTGAGCTGACACGCAGTGAGCGTACAGATAGTGAGCGGACACACAGTGAGCGGACACGAGGTAGGAATCTACCCTGATTATATCGTCAGGGCATGTGTGGGTCCATTAACGGACGATGCAGCCGACGTCTCGAGCCGCGAGAACCACCAGATGCCACGTGTCTGCTCCTCAGAGTACTAGCAGATTATTTGGTACTTAAAGATTAGCCGCTGGTTAAAACTCAGCGACTTTAGGGTTATACCAATTTGCAGCCATACCATATGCCTAGGTCACGGATTCGGTCAAAGCTTTTGACTCAATCGCACGAGGTCTAGGGTTACCAGGTTACCACCCGAGGTCGTTTGTTTCAACGAACACCGCCTCAAGGGTTTCGCGTCGGCTTCGCCATGCCTCGTGGCCGGCACGCGCCCGTGAGCTGGGCGACGGTGCTGCCGACCATAGCGCACCTGTGCCTGCTGCTCTTCACGTGCCTCCTTATCCTGAAACTCCAAGGCCGAATGACATGGTCCTGGTGGTGAGTGCAGTGTCTTTGGTGTGAATTCTCCCTGTGCTGCTTCTAAACACCTGTGCCTGCTGCTCTTCACGTGCCTCCTCATCCTGAAACTGCAAGGCAGATGGACATGGTCCTGGTGGTGAGTGCGGTACTCCGGTTATGGGTGCAGGATTTGGTGGTGAGTGCGGTGCTCTGGTGGTGAGTGCAGTGTCTCAGGTGTGAATCCTTTCTGCGTCTCTTTTTAGCACCTGTGCCTGCTGCTCTTCACGTGCCTCCTCATCCTGAAACTGCAAGGCCGATGGACATGGTCCTGGTGGTGAGTGCGGTGCTCCGGTGATGCGTGCAGGATTTGGTGGTGAGTGCGAAATCTAATGGCGAGTGCAGCCTCTCGTCGTTTCCACATCAAATCTTCCCGTGTATCCCTCCCATTTCCTCCCCCTACCATCCCCGGTACTCTTTCCCTTCCCCTGCAGGTGGGTGTTCTGTCCGCTGTGGGTGTTTCACGGCGCGCTGTCGCGCTGCAACTGCTCCATGCCCGCGCCCAGCTCACCCTACGACCGCCACTGGCGCCCCTGCCACTCGCTTCTCACGCTGCCGCTGCTCGTTGCCTTTGAGCTGCTGCTCTGCTGCTACCTCGCTGCAAGAGAGAGTGCGTCCTCCCCCCCTCACTCACTCTCTCTCTCTCTCTCTCTCTCTCTCTCTCTCTCTCGCTCGCTCTCTCTCTCTCTCTCTCTCTCTCTCTCTCTCTCTCTCTCTCTCTCTCTCTCTCTCTCATCCCGTACATCTCGTTTCATATATATGTCATCGTAAGCGCGCCCCAGGTTCCCTGTCTAGGTTCGCTGCCGCTGCTCGTTGCCTTTGAGCTACTGCTCTGCTGCTACCTCGCTGCAAGAGAGAGTGCGTCCTTTGTCTCTCTGCCGCTCGCTGCCTCTTGTTCAACCATCCATGACCCATCACCCCTCCCTCCACTCACCCCTCCCCTGCAGTGTGTGTGGCGCGACCACCAGTGGACCTGGCCATTGTGTTCCTCCCTCTCATTCACCATCCACCACCCACCCACAGAATGATTTTTGAGGCGCCTCGAAAACCCACCCACACAATGATCGCACGTTGCCCATCACCCACCCACACAGTCATCGCCTATTGCCTGTCACCCTTGCCATCACCCGCTGCTCGTCAACCCCTACCCTGCAGTGTGTGTGGCGCGGCCGCCAGTGGACCTGGCCATGGTGTTTCTTATTCACCATCTTTGGCCCATCCTCTCAGTCATTGCACATCAACCATCCATGACCCATCACCCCTCCCTCCACTCACCCCTCCCCTGCAGTGTGTGTGGCGCGACCACCAGTGGACCTGGCCATTGTGTTCCTCCCTCTCATTCACCATCCATCACCCACCCACAGAATGATTTTTGAGGCGCCTCGAAAACCCACCCACACAATGATCGCACGTTGCCCATCACCCACCCACACAGTCATCGCCTATTGCCTGTCACCCTTGCCATCACCCGCTGCTCGTCAACCCCTACCCTGCAGTGTGTGTGGCGCGGCCGCCAGTGGACCTGGCCATGGTGTTTCTTATTCACCATCTTTGGCCCATCCTCTCAGTCATTGCACATCAACCATCCATGACCCATCACCCCTCCCTCCACTCACCCCTCCCCTGCAGTGTGTGTGGCGCGACCACCAGTGGACCTGGCCATTGTGTTCCTCCCTCTCATTCACCATCCACCACCCACCCACAGAATGATTTTTGAGGCGCCTCGAAAACCCACCCACACAATGATCGCACGTTGCCCATCACCCACCCACACAGTCATCGCCTATTGCCTGTCACCCTTGCCATCACCCGCTGCTCGTCAACCCCTACCCTGCAGTGTGTGTGGCGCGGCCGCCAGTGGACCTGGCCATGGTGTTTCTTATTCACCATCTTTGGCCCATCCTCTCAGTCATTGCACATCAACCATCCATGACCCATCACCCCTACCTCCACTCACCCCTCCCCTGCAGTGTGTGTGGCGCGACCACCAGTGGACCTGGCCATTGTGTTCCTCCCTCTCATTCACCATCCACCACCCACCCACAGAATGATTTTTGAGGCGCCTCAAAAACCCACCCATACAATGATCGCACGTTGCCCATCACCCACCCACACAGTCATCGCCTATTGCCTGTCACCCTTGCCATCACCCGCTGCTCGTCAACCCCTACCCTGCAGTGTGTGTGGCGCGGCCGCCAGTGGACCTGGCCATGGTGTTTCTTATTCACCATCTTTGGCCCATCCTCTCAGTCATTGCACATCAACCATCCATGACCCATCACCCCTCCCTCCACTCCACTCTCACCCCCTGATAGTGTGTGTGGCGCGGCCGCCAGTGGACCTGTCCATTGTGTTCCTGCCTCTCTTTCACCATCCATGACCCATCACCCCTCCCTCCACTCCACTCTCACCCCCTGACAGTGTGTGTGGCGCGGCCGCCAGTGGACCTGTCCATTGTGTTCCTGCCTCTCTTTCACCATCCATGACCCATCACCCCTCCCTCCCCTCTCACCCCCTGACAGTGTGTGTGGCGCGGCCGCCAGTGGACCTGTCCATTGTGTTCCTGCCTCTCTTTCACCATCCATGACCCATCACCCCTCCCTCCCCTCTCACCCCCTGACAGTGTGTGTGGCGCGGCCGCCAGTGGACCTGTCCATTGTGTTCCTGCCTCTCATTCTGCTCGAGGGGCTCGTGCTCGTTGACAACTTCAGGTGAGACTTCAGGTGATTTCAGGTGGATTCAGGTGAATTGGGTACATTCAGGTTGACTTAGGTGACTTCAATCGAGGTACCAGGCAAGAGCAGATAAGGTTTTACACGAGGCATTTGTTCGGATTGGCATCCTCAAGTGCCCCTCACCGGGCACTCATGCGGACCTTATTGGGCCCCTCCTGTTCTGCTCCCAAGCTGTCACAGAGGTGTGTCACCTGAGGAGTGTGTGCATCCCTTTCCCATTCCCCCATCGCCCAATCAATGTGTGCCACGTCAGGATGTGCATGGCGCTGATGCCGGGGGAAGATGACAACATGACGGATGAGGCTTTATGGGAGACACTGCCGGTATGCATGGAGTACGGTGTATGCATGCATGCTGGTGCATGCTGGTTCATGTTGATACATGGCACTAGCTTGGAATGCATGAGCTGCAGTGCGTGCATGGGCTGTAGCTGTTGTGCTGGTCATCGATGTTGATGTTCATGGAAGCGGTTACAGCTTCTCCTTTCTTCTCCTTCTTTCTCCTCTTTCCCTCCCCCCCTTCCCGTCTCTCCGCATTCAAAGCACTTTGCAGTGGCAGTGTCAATGATATTCTTTATGGCAGCAACTGTGTTTTCTGTTCTTAAGCTCAATGGTAAGCCACCGTATATGTTTTTGTTTTTTTAGTTGTATCATTATTCTTACCATTATCAGTGTTGTTGTTGTTGTTGTCATTAGTATTATAATTATTCTTTATAGTTATCAAGATGATGATGATGATGATGATGATGATGATGATGATGATGATGATGATGATGATGATGATGATGATGATGATGATGATGATGATGATGATGATGATGATGATGATGATGATGATGATGATGATGATGATGATGATGATGATGATGGGTAAGCCACCAAACTGGCCCACCCATGCTGCCTCTGCCCCACTCACCTGTGTTGAGTGCAGATGTGACGGAGGTTATTGGCATCGACTGGTGGACACTGCTGGTGGACCTCTGGTGAGTCATTGCTGGTGGACCTCTGGTGAGTCATTGCTGGTGGACCTCTGGTGAGTCCGTGTTGCGTGCTCACTGCTCACTCTGCTAACTCAACCGCACGGTAACCACCAGTGATCACCAGTGAGCACACTTGCTTGTATCACTCGTGAGAAGTCTCCCAAGTCATGCAAACGCACCCAGTGGACCTCTGCTGAGTGCTAGCTGCTCCCTCTGGTCCATCAACTGGTCTCTTTCCCCACTCGCATATGTGCGCTCCCCCCTTCTTTATGTACGCATATGTGCGCTCCCCCCTTCTTTATGTACGCATATGTGTGCATTGGCAAGTTCTTTGCGTTCCTCCTCTGCATGCAGTGGACCAACTCTCCCCTTTCAACTCTGTTAAACCTACATGTGTGCCCCTTCCCCCCTGCCCCTCTGTTTCCCCACACATCCTGCCCCTCTGTTTCCCCACACATCCTGCCCCCTCTGTCAGCATTGGCGAGTTCTTTGCGTTTCTCCTCTGCATGCAGTGGACCAATCCGCATCAACCTCCCCCCCGCCCCTCCCCAGCCCCCTCTCCTCTCCTCCGCCCCTCCTACTCCTCCCCTTCCCTCCTCCCCTCCTCCCAACCACCCTCCTCCTCCTCTTCCTCCTCCTCCTCCTCCACTTCCTCGCCCCCTCAAGCTACCGCCATCACCATCACCACCCCTCTTCTCGCATCACAATCCCCACAGAGGGGCAGCAGGGGTGGCAGCAGCAGCAGGGGAGGGGCAGCGGGGGCAGAGGGCGAGGCAGAGAGCACTATTGCTGCTGGTGGTAGTGCTGCTGGTGCTGGTGCTGGTGCTGCTGCTGCTGCCGCTGGTACTGTTGCTGCTGCTGCCGCTGGTACTGTTGCTGCTCCTGCCGCTGGTACTGTTGCTGCTGCTGCCGCTGGTACTGTTGCTGCTGCTGTTTATGCTTCTGGTAGGGTGGTTGATAGGCGGGTGGGTAGTGGAGGGTCGGGTGCAGGAAGGGCAGGGAGAGGGGCCAGAAGAGGGGGAGGAGGGGGAGATGGGGAGGAGGCGGAGGAGGATGAAGATGCAGAGATAAGACGAGGAGGAGGAAGAGTGGGGGAAGGAGGAGGGGAGAGAGGTGGGGGTGGAGGAGGAGGGGAAGGAGATGGGGGAGGAGGTGGAGGAGGAGGTGGAGGAGGAGGAGGAGGAGGTGGAGGAGGAGGGGGGGCAGGAGCCGTGGGAGGAGGGGCGAGAGGGAGTGAGGAAGGGGGGGATGAGGACAGTGAGAGTGAGGTTGAGTTTCACTGCGGTGCCCCAGAGGTGGGGGGACATCTGCTCAAAGCCGGGGTGATAGTCTTCCAAGTGTTGCTCTGCATGCGCCTCGAAGGCCAGCCGAACTGGGCGGCACACATGTCCTATTGGATGCTCTTCTCGCCACTCCTCGCTGTCCAGCTGGCGGCGCTGATGTCAGCGCTGACTCAGCTCGCGGAGGGGGTGATGCTGTTGTATGCGCCCGAGTCCGGGCGGCGGTTTTCGGCGGTAGTGCGGGAGCATGACCCGTTTATGTTTGTGACGCGGGGCATGCGGCTGGCGGGGTGGTGGTGGCGGGATGACGAAGTGCGGGAGGAGCAGAAGAGTCTTACTGCCTCTCTCTTCCCGGGGTAAGTGTTGGGAGGTGAGGGCGCTGCCTAGGGTGACTTTTGAGTCGACTCAAAAGGAGCAGAAGAGTCTCACTGCCTCTCTCTTCCCGGGGTGAGTGTTGGGAGGTGAGGGTGCTGCCTAGGGTGGTAGTGGCACTGCACTGGGGCATGATGATTGAGTGAGAAAGTAGTCGAAGTGGTTCCAGACCACATCGTGCCAGAAAAGGGTAATGCAACATCAGCACGGATTGATGCTGTGTGAAACACAAAGAGCGAACGCAGCTCAATGCTTATCTCACCACGTTATTTGCCTTCCCAACTTCCACCGCTTCCCTTTCCCCCACCCCGCCCTCTCCACAGGGCATATGATACATTTCGAAGCTGAGCCTCCCGATCACATAAAGCAAATGCGCAAGGGTCAGCTGGCAGAGCAGGCGGTGAGGCTGCAGGCGGCACTGATTTCACTTCCCTTCCCCTCCACTACCCCTCCCCTCACCTGACAGCACGTATGATACGTTTGAAGCCGTGCCTCCAGACCACATAAAGCGCATGAGAAAAGGGCAATTAGCAGAGGAGGTGGTGCGTCTGCAGGCGGCCTTGGCGGAGCAGGTGGAGACGGGCAAGGCGCAGCGGCAGGAGCTGGAGCGCGTGCAGCAGGAGAAGGTGCTGTGCCGCGTGTGCTTTGAGCGCGAGATCAGCCTCGTGCTGCTGCCCTGCCGCCACCGCGTGCTCTGCCAGTGAGTCACCCCAGTCCCCATGCCCATGCCCCCGTGCCTCATGCCCCCAGTCCCCGTATTCGTGTCATGGGTCGAATACTGTGCTGATAGGTGGCTTGCAAGAGGGTGAGAGAGCAGGGAGGGCTCTGGTGTGAGGGTGGGAGCTGGCTGGAGCGAGTGCAGCAGGAGAAGGTGCTGTGCCGCATGTGCTTCGAGCGCGAGATCAGCCTCGTGCTGCTGCCCTGCCGCCACCGCGTGCTCTGTCAGTGAGTTGCCTCCCTTGTGCGAGTGAGTGACCTCCCTTGTGCGAGTGAGTGACCTCCCTTGTGCGAGTGAGTGACCTCCCTTGTGCGAGTGAGTGACCTCCCTTGTGCGAGTGGGTTGAATGATGTGCAAGTGAGTCCTCTGCTGCGCTAGCGAGTGCTTATTTCCCCTTCCCCCTTGCTGCTTTCCCCGTGGCACCACCAGTCCCGGTGCGGACAATTGTCGGCATAACCCCTTATGATGCTAAATCCTTTACCCTCATCCCCTCCTCTCGTCCCCTCTTGTGCCCATATGCCCTACCCCTCTCCCCCACTCCCTCCCCCCATCACACCACCAGCCCTTGTTCAGACAAGCGTCGGCAGCGCCCCATATGCTGTAACTCCCTTGACCCTCACCCCCTCCTCTCTCCCTCCTCCCCCCCATCACGCAACCAGTCCCTGTGCAGACAAGTGCCGGCAGTGCCCCATATGCTGTAACTCCCTTGACCCTCACCCCCTCCTCTCTCCCTCCTCCCTCCCATCACGCCACCAGTCCCTGAGCTGACAAGCGTCGGCAGTGCCCCATTTGCTGTAACTCCCTTGACCCTCACCCCCTCCTCTCTCCCTTCTCCCCCCCATCACGCCACCAGTCCCTGTGCAGACAAGTGCCGGCAGTGCCCCATATGCAGGCGGCACATTGCCGACCGCATGGCCGTGTTTGACGTGTGAAGGGGGGAAACGCCAGGTGTGATGTGGATATTACTTTTGAGGCGCCTCAGTCCCCGGACTGCACGGTTGTGTTTGATGTGTGAGGGGGGGAGGAGCGGTGCCCATGTCCTGAGGCACCTCACAACTTGACACGCATTTTGGGACGAATGTCGCTTCTTGAGATAGTGATGGTGTCTGCTTGTATTATGTGATAGTGAGGTGTGCATTCTGCTGCAGTTGGGGCGGGGAGGGGGAAGGGGGGAAGGGGGGGAAGGGGGGGAAGGGGAGAAAAGTGGGAGGAAAGGGAGGGAAAGGGAGGGGAATGGGAGGGAAGGGGGGGAAAGGGGGGGAAGGGGGGAGACGTGCGTTACTTACCATTGTTGTGCATTGCTGGTTATCTAAGCAGCTGTGGTTCACTCGTGGAGTCGGGGAGATAGTGGGTTCACAGGCTGGTTAGGGTACATGGGCTGCACTGTTGGTGCTCCCAAGCTTGTATGCTCCAAATGTTAGTCAAGGCTTAGGGGTATATACAGTAGGTGGTACACAATATATGACACATATGCATATAATAAGTTCGCAGGTTAGCTGGCAAAGGCTGGAAACTCCAAGTACCGCATATAACTGAAGGAACCTTCTAGAGTCTGTATAGGTAAACCTATGCCGGACACTTGACCCATGGATCAGCATTGTAAACTTGACTGATCAGCATTGTAAACTTGACTGGTCAGCTTGGTATACTGGGCTATTTTGGCATCTGGTCGTATACGGGGCTGGGTTACCGTAAAGTGCCACCTATAGGACCCGGGGGACTCTCTACAAATGCTGGAAAAAATGCTAGGGTGGACATTATGGCGGTTGCAAATTTTTAAGACCCGGGGTACACTTATTTGTCTATTAACATTAATGGATTTACCATGTACAATCTCGGTAGGGGGGGGGGGGGGGGGGGGGGGTCTTATATTTTTCGCGCGAGAATCTTTAGCTTGGTGCCCCACGTGCGCATCATCGGGAATGACACGCGGCGAAAATCAGAGCACGGGGCGGACTGAACGGCGTTTGCCCCGCACCTCACATCCTCTCGACGGTGTTTCCGTTAAGATGGGCACGTCAGGTGGCCCTTGACCACCCCATCATGTCTCTGTGGCAGAATGGGTACTGGACGTGAAGCACTAGAGTTTCACGTCCCTCACTCTACCGTACACGCAAGCTTTCATCCCCTCCCTCCCTCTGTTTCAGATCTTGTCCGCCCGGCTAGCTTCCTACCCATCTAAATAGCCCGCCATGGCGCCTGCCATTTAGTGAACCATAGGTCGTTAGAATTGAATCAGCTCTTCGCCATGTCGGCTTTCGAAAGCCCATGGCGTTCTCGCAGTATGGCGGTAGGAAGTGGGTCTGGCCAGCCCGCAATCATACTGATCACAAGCCCGGCCCCGCCAGCTCCTCCAGCTCCTCCCGCACCTCCGGCACCCCCTGCGCCTCCGGCGCCACCTGCGCCCCCTGTGCTTCCCCCGGGCTTCGTTGACTGGCGCACCACTCCTCCTTTGGACCCGCTTGAGGAGGAGGGGTTTCCTGAACACGTCGCTGAGGATGGTGAGAATGAGACGAATGCCGAGAACGAGAACATGGAAGACGACGTCGGGGATTTCCAGATCCCTACGTTTCCGGATGACTTGATCCACAACGAAAACGGGCCTCGCTCCAACGTTGACGGTGCTCCAGCAGTTCACAGCGCCCGCAAGACTAACCACCGTCGCACTGCGCGAACCATGGGTGAGAAGCAGGAATGGCTCGCGCGGATGGACGATTAGAAGCTCTCTGTTCGCGCCACTGCACGTCTCGCCGGGGTGCAGCCTGTCAGCGTCCGCCGGTGGATAAGGGCGGCGGATCGGATTAAGAAGGCGGCACCGTCCAGGCGCCGACTCAGTGGTGGAGGGAGAAAGGCGAAATATCCCGACATGGAGGCGCATACCTACAAGCGGCTCCTGAACTTCCGCGGACGTGCCTTGGCTGTGCCTATTCGTCTCATCAAGCACTGGAGCCGGTGTTACATGAAGGTGCATTACCCTGATGTGAGGTGGATGGCGTCCAACAGGTGGACCTTCCGCTTCCGCCAGCGTTTGGGCCTCTCCATCCGCGTGAAGACGAAGATGGGTCAGCGTATGGCATCGGGTGAGTTATCTTGTGCTTCCCTCCGTGTGTGTGCTTGTATAGTTTGCTTGGCGACATGTAACACTAATGCTTAACCCACCGCCGTCACTAATGTCCTTCTCCCGCCTTGTCCGCGTCCGTGGCAGAGTGCAAGCAGAAGTGTGAGAAGTTCTGGGCGTTCACGAGGAGGAACATAATCAAGCATGGCATAGACGCATGGAACATTATAAACGCCGACCAGACGCCCGTTTTCCTGGAGATGCCGCACGAGCGCACCCTGCATCACCGCGGAGAGAAGACGGTGCACGTCAGAAGCGCAGGCTACGAGAAGGACAGGGTGACTGTCATGCTCGGGATCACCGCGGACGGGCGCAAGCTCCCCGCCATGGTTATCTTCAAGCGCAAAACGATCCCGAAAACTCGGGTCCCTGCAGGTGAGTTGCTAGAGTTGTAACCATCACGGTAGTCTCTCTTCGTGGCGGATTTCTAACCACGTGCGTTGTTTTCTTTGTAGGAGTCGTTGTTCGTGCGCAGGCGAAAGGCTGGATGGATGCAAAGCTAGTGGATGATTGGGTGAATAACGTTCTGCTGCCGTTCATCAAGCCTCCGCGTGGCATCCGGCGTTCCAAGACGCTTCTCGTCGTGGACTCGTACCGGGGCCACCTCACCGACGGCGTTCTCACCAACATGAAGTGGAACCGGGTAATTCCGACCATATTTCCCGGGGGCTGCACCCCACTGCTACAGCCCCTTGATGTGAGCGTTTATCGCTCATTCAAGGCACTGCTCCGTCAGCTCTACAATGACTGGTTTGCCGAGTTTGGCGTCAACACATTCACGGAAGCCGGTGAGTTTCGGTGCCGTGCTTAGTACCTCGCATTGTGGCGTGTTTGTAGCTTGTTGTTGGCTTTATGATAACTCTCCGTGTGCGCCCCGTGCCTGTTCTTTCCTGTTTACATGGCAGGCAACCTGAAGAAGTCGCCAGCGGAGACGGTCCTCAAGTGGATTGCGAGTGTTTGGGCGGCCGTCCCCGAGCACATTATTGAGAAGGCGTTTCTCACGACAGGCATCAGCAACTCGGTCGATGGGAAGCAAGATCACCTCGTCCTGGCCCACATGCGTGATGCGGGCGAGGTCGAGGTGGCACAAGACGTGCACGTCGCCCCTGAGGTGGAGGAGTGGGTGAACCCACTGTTCGCCACAGCCGCGGAGGATGAGGAGGCGGCAAAGGCTGTGGATGCTGAGGATGCCGGGGACCTGGAGGAGGAGGAGGAGGAGGAGGAGGAGGAGGAGGAGGAGGAGGAGGAGGAGGAGGAGGAGGAGGAGGAGGAGGAGGAGGAGGAGGAGGAGGAGGAGGAGGAGGAAGAGGAGGAGGAGGAGGAGGAGGAGGAGGAGGAGGAGGAGGAGGAGGAGGAGGAGGAGGAGGAGGAGGAGGAGGAGGAGGAGGAGGACGACGACGACGACGACGATGTGGATGACGAGGAAGAGGAGGCAGAGGGTGGGCTGGAGGAGGACGCGAACGCTAAGTGCTTGATGGAATCTAACATGACAAAGCCGTAGTTGTAGTGACCACTAGGTGTTGAGATGTGCATGTAGTACGGTAGGTAACAACGATAACAATGTTAACTGCACCAAACTCAATAGGGCCTTATATGGAAAGGGGGGGGGGGGGGGTCTTATAATGATTAGCTACAAAGGGGGGGTCCTAAAAAAACCTGCCACAATAAGAGTCCCCCTACCCATTCAAGAGTCCCGGGGGACCCTCTTACCGGCGGGTCCTATAGGTGGCACTTTACGGTATATTGGCATCTGGTCCTATGCACAGATCTGGTCGTATGGAGCTCATGGCAATCATGCAGCATGTCTACACATGCGACGTGCTAACAAAATCCTCCACACACACACAAGACTGACAAACGGTAAAATGAAACGTGAGGTTTAACATGCATTAGCACGCAACTCGGCTCTCATGCGTTTGCGGCGCCTCCTTATCTGACGCCGCGTCAAAGGAACGCACTCTAAGCCTGTTGCGGCGGCATTGCCAATGCAAGGAGGCAGCAGTTCTTGTGGTTCAGACGGAGCAGGAAGATTCACGCGAGCATTCCCAATCTCCTGAAGCCTTGCGATGCAGGCCACGAGTTCAGGAACGCCACCTGAAGGTCCGGATGGCTTTTGAGGCGCCTCAAAAGGAGAACTCACGCGAGCATTCCCAATCTCCTGCAGCCTTGAGATGCAGGCTACGAGCTCGGTTTTTACGCGTTTGCGGTGCCTCCTTTTCTGACGCCTCGTTTCCTCCGGAATACACCCTAAGCCTGCCCTGGAGTCAGTGTCATTGCAAGGAGGCGCCCTTGGTGCATCAGACGGAGCAGGAGGATTCACAGGAGGATCCACAGGAGGATCCACGCGAGCATTCCCAATCTCCTGAAGCCGTGCAATGCAGGCCACGAGTTTGAGAACCCCGCCTGAAGGGCCGGACGGGCTGAGCCGATAGTGCAGTGCAGGCTTTAATCTCTTCTTATTCAAAAGATGATCCACCACTTTGGATGCATCCACCCACCTGGCGTTGAGCCGAGTGACAACTGAAGCAGGTACTGCTGGGGTCGTGCCAGATGCAGTTTTTTTCTTTACTGTCACAGCACCACCTGCAGTGCCGTTCGCTCCGTTCGTTTTAGTCACACTGTCGTTTGTCACGCTGTTGATTGTCACACTGTTGTCTGTCACACTGGCGCCGCCCTGCTCGGGGTCTTTGAGCCTGTCTTCGTGGCACAGGAAGAACACGTGCCCGCTGTTCCCGCTGTAGAAGGCCTCTGATTGGTCCGCGAGTGCTGCTGCCACGTCAGCAATGCGCTTCTCCCACGTGGCACCCTTGAGGTTGTAATAGCCGGCCTCATATTCCTCCACGTATTCCCTGCGACGTGGCAGCAGCACAGAGACACAAAGAGGCACATGGGGAGGTGTAATATGAGATTCATTAGGGGTTCATCAAGAATCAATCATCTTCCTGTACTCCCTTCACTGCAGCAGCAGCAGCAGCAGCAGCACACTGAAGCACATGGTGGTGAGAGTTTCTTGACTAACTCCCTGCAACGCACCTCACAGCGGCACGTGGGGGGTCAGGTTCGGCAAAAGAGATGTGGTGGAGCAGGGCAGGGCCGGGCAGGGCGGGGTGGGGTGAGGAAGCGCGGGTCAGGGAGGGGAGGGCAGGCCGGGTAGGGGGAGGGCGGGGCAGGGAGAGAAGGGCGGGGCAGGGAGAGAAGGGCGGGGCAGGGAGAGAAGGGCGGGGCAGGGAGAGAAGGGCGGGGCAGGGAGAGAAGGGCGGGGCAGGGCGGGCAGGGAGGGGCAGGCAGCATGCGCTGCATACCACGCAGCAGTGCGGCGGGGGAGCGGTTATCCGCCACGTCCTGGTTCCCCCCGAGACAGGTAGTGCGGGCGGGGGGCGGGGGGGAGCCTCGGCACGCAGGCGAGAGGGATTGGGGAGGGCGGGAGACGGGTGGGAGCCTCAACGCATGGGCAAGAGGCGACACACGGTGGCGGGGGAGTGGGGAGGGCGGGGGAGCAGGGGAGCGGGGAAGCTGGGGAGCGGGGGAGTGAGGAGCGGCATGCCGCGCAGCAGTGCGGGCGGGGGAGTTTGTTGCCCGCCTCCTCCTTCCCCCCGAAGTCCAGCAGAAACACCCCGCTCTGTTTACATCTTCTCAGAAAACAGATTCCGCTTACCGCGCAGCAGTGCGGGCGGGGGAGTTGTTGTCCGCCGCCTCCTTCTTCCCCCCGAAGTCCAGCAGAAACACTCCGCTCTTCTGCATCTTCCGCCTCCGCTTCTCCTGCCGCTTCCGCCCCTTCTCCCGCAGCCGGTGCTCCGCCTTGACCGCTTCCAACCGCTTCTTCCGCATCTGCGGATCTTCCTGCGCCAACTGCATCCGCGCAAGCTCAATGAATCTCTTCCGCTCCGCCGCTCCGCCCTCCGCTACAGTCTCTTGCGATTGATCCGAGGGATTTTGACTCTCTCGCATTCGCTCCCCCTCACGTTCTTGATCCTGCATCCGCTTCTCCTCCCGCTTCCGCGCGCTTTCCCGCAGCCGGTGCTCCGCCTTGAGCGCTTCCAGCCGCTTCTTCCGACTCCGCGGGTCTTCCTGCGCCAACTCCATCCGCAACTGGTCGTTCAACCTCTTCCGCTTCGCCGCACCGCTCTCCGCTGCAGTCTCTCGCGACTGATCCGAGGGGTTTGCACTCGCTTGCTTTTGCTCCTCCTCATACTCTTGATCCGGTTCCTGCTTCACTACTATCTCTTGCGACTGATCCGAGGGGTTTGCACTCGCTTGCTTTTGCTCCTCCTCATACTCTTGATCCGGTTCCTGCTTCACTACTATCTCTTGCGACTGATCCGAGGGGTTTGCACTCGCTTGCTTTTGCTCCTCCTCATTCTCTTGATCCGGTTCCTGCTTCACTACTATCTCTTGCGGCTGATCCGAAGGATTTCTACTCTCTTGCCTGTTCTCCTCTTCATCCTTATTCTGCTTTGATGCGTCGCACGCGGATGGGATTGCACGGGGAGACCCAGGCGTGCGCCCGCTCGCGGATGCTTGATTGCCCGCGGGTGCGATAGCGCGGGGGGGGCAATGCCCGCACCCTTCTGTGTGGAGCAGAAAAAACAAGCGGCCGGCATCGTCGTAGCAGTACGGCACGATGCCCGCGGCGCTGTAGCAGGCGCTCACCGCCGCGAGCCACGCGTTTGACTCCGCCATCGATCTTGCCGCGCAGACTGAGAGATATGTTGCACCCGAAAGCTGGGAGTTTTGGTGTTTCGTACGCGATAAAAATTCCTTAACCTTCGACAACGTTTGCACAATCACCAAACTAGTGAAGTTAACGACGTTTTTTACTACAATATGAGCACAATGAAACAGGGCAACACTAAACAGGGAAACTTCTTAACGAACAGTAGAGTAACAAACAAACCAACAAGTCTGCTAAAACAAGAGCATTGGCAAAAGGGGTGCATATGGCGACGCTTTGTAAAACCCGTTATGCCAGTGTTGCCAAGTCGTATATGGGCCGACCGTGACTTGCAGGATCATGCTCTCTCAGGTCAAGCCCACACTCAGCTCGCGCTCGCGCTCACGCTCAGCTCACGCTCAGCCTCACGCTCAGCCTCACGCTCAGCTCGCGCTCGCGCTCAGCTCACGCTCAGCCTCACGCTCATGCTCATGCACACAGGCTGATCAATCAGTACAACAACCGGACAAGCACCCTTCCTCGCACAAGTCCTACCTAATTATTTTAGTGTTAGTTACAGGCAAGAAATAAACACAGTGCGCGCAGCACACACAGCTATGGTAGGTCAGTTATAGATATATCGAAAAATTAGCGGTTGTATGTACTGCGACTTAGCAGTTCCATTCCATTGAAGTCCCCTCAAAGTACTGTAGCAAAGCTGCCAGTGCCGTGAATTGGCACGCAGGCAGGGCAGGTGGGCAGGGCAGCCCTTCAGAAGGCAGGCAGCCAATGGAACCTTCAGGTCAGAAGAGCGCATGCCCGCAAAATAATTTACAAGTTGCACCGCTCTTGGACGGGAACGTTGGCCAGTGAGGGACGATCGGAGGGCTTACTAAAGGGCAGCCGAAGAAAGTGAAACCAGCCGAGATTAATAACCTGTTCGGAAGAACTTTAATTGACCCAAAAACGGCTTCTTAGACGCCTCAGATGAGTTTCAGCCTAGCACAGCAGCCGTGGCTGTAGAAAAAGAGGGGTAGAGTGAGGCGGGGTGGAGAGGGTGAGGGCAGGAGATAATTAGACAAGGTACTGACATAGGCTGAGTGATTGCGAATTCGACTGAAAACAGCCAAAACAGGGTATAGTTTTCAGGTGCCGCCGGAAGCTATATAGAAGGAATGTTGGAAAGGAAAACTGTACTGTCACTGGCATGAGCACCAGCTTGTGCCAAGCCCACACAGAGAAGGTACTGGCCAATCAGAGCGCACCTCCTAGAGCAACAGAGCGCCACGTGGCAGCAGCTGAGCGGTCGAGAACCTCCATGACCTCCTCCTCGGTCTGGTAAGAACAGGGAGGGAGGGGCGAGATGGGGCCAGCAGAAGTCAGATCAGGACGAAAGTCTCACAAAGTCAACCAGAGTAAACTGTGCTGTCAAATAAGAAGGCGTGGTGTGAAATGCAGGGGTACTGCTCATGTTTGACACGGCCCATCCCCACCCCTGCTGCATTTGCCATGCTGCCGCATGCCTTCACCCCACCCTTCTCGCCCTCACCCCATTGGATTAATCTTCCCCTTCCCCCTGATTTTTCCCCTGTCTCTCACCTCGCAGTGCTCCAGCAGCTGCTCTCGATTGGGCATGGCCCACCCCCACAGCTGTCAACCTCCCCGCTCCACCACCTTCCTTTTCTTCTCACATCCTTCTTGGTTCCCCCTCCTCTTCTTCCCCCCCCCCCCCCCCTGCCTCTCACAACGCACTGCTCTAGCAGCTGCTCTCGTTTGGGCATAGACCCCTACAGCTGCACCGCCACCTGCACTGCACGGCTCTCAGCCTCCCAACCCCCTCAATCCCTTCCTTGCTCTCACTCCCACCCCCACACCTGCACCGCCATACACCTCTCACCATCTCACTCCCTCTCTCACCATTCCCACCCCTCCTCCTCGCTACACATGTGTCTCACCTCGCACTGCTCCAGCAGCTGCTCTCGCCTGGGCATGGCCCACCCCCACAGCTGTCAACCTCCCCACTCCACCACTTCCGTTTTCTTGTTCTCACCCCCTTGGTTTCCCCTTCTCTTCTCCCCCCCCCCCCTGCCGCTCACCTCGCACTGCTCCAGCAGCTGCTCGCGCTTGGGCATGGCCCACCCCCACAGCTGTACCGCCACCTGCACTGCGCGGCTCTGCTGGTCACGCGTCATCTCGGCGCCTGCAGGGAGGGGTGAGGGAGGAGTGCGGAAGGGTCAGGCGGGGTCAGGGAGCGAATTACCAAAGAGGGAGCACAACAAGATTCAAAACAGAGTTCTCGAAATGCTCTGCTGGTCACGAATCCCTGCAGCACCAGACGAGTTGGATTGGGAAGACAAGATAGCTGCAGCAGAGAGAAACGTTTTGAGACGTCTCAAAACACGCCAGACGAGTTGGATTGGGAAGACAAGACAGCTGCAGCAGAGAGAAACGCACGCCCACCACTAGGGTGAGCAGCTTGGCAACGGAGAGAGTGGACCCCCTTTGAGTCTGCTTTTGAGTCGACTCAAATGGAGAGAGTGGACCCCCTTTGACGGGCCAGAGCACACCAGGGAATGCACGCAAGTCAAGGAGGGTCAAGCCGAGTCAACAAGAGTCAAGCCGAGTCAAGCACTTACAGTCTTCCACGAGGGTGAGCAGCTTGGCAACAAACAGCGCCGACCCCCCTTTGACGGGCCAGAGCACGCTGGGGCAGGCAGCGAGTCAAGAAGGGTTGACGAGAGTCAACAATAGTCAAGCAAGTCAAGCACTTACAGTCCTCCACCAGAGTGAGCAGCTTGGCGACAAACAGCGCCGACCCTCCTTTGACAGGCCAGAGCACGCTGGGGCAGGCAGCGATGCGCGCCACAACAGCAAGAGACAGGTCAACCCAGTCATCGTCCTCCGGGTCAAGCAAGTCAAGCAGAGTCTGCGCGGAGGAGCCCTCTGGCAGCACGTGCAGCAGCCCGTGCATGCCCCAGTCCAGCACCTCTCCTGCTGTGGCATCCGAACACGACCCATCCTCCTCTAGTTTCTGGTGTAGGGAGAGGGGGAGGGAAAGAGTGGGATGGGGGGAGGGGGGCACTGTAGGTAGCCCTCGGGCAGCACGTGCAGCAGCCCGTGCATGCCCCAGTCCAGCACCTCTCCTGCTGTGGCATCCGAACACGACCCATCCTCCTCTAGTTTCTGGTGTAGGGAGAGGGGGAGGGAAAGAGTGGGATGGGGGGAGGGGGGCACTGTAGGTAGCCCTCGGGCAGCACGTGCAGCAGCCCGTGCATGCCCCAGTCCAGCACCTCTCCTGCTGTGGCATCCGAACACGACCCATCCTCCTCTAGTTTCTGAGTTGGAGAGACAGGGAGTCGCGGAGAGGAGGATGAAGAGAGGGGTATGGTGAGAATACGGATGCGGACAAGGGGAGGAAACAGGGGGATGGGGAGCACTATGGGGAGCCCTCGGGCAGCACATGAAGCAGCCCGTGCATGCCCCAGTCCAACACCTCCCCTGCTGTCGCATCCGAGCACGATCCATCCTCCTCTAGTTTCTGGCGTGGGGGAAAGGGGAAATGGGGGAAAATGCGGATAAGAGGGGGACGATATCAAGAGGGCTGGGCCAAGGGGGTTGTGGTCAAGTTTCTGGGGAGAGGAGAGGGGGGGTGGGGACAGGGGGATGAGAGGGGATAAGCGGGGTTGTGAAGGTGAGGGGTTACACTGTGCTGCTTTGAAATCTCTCTCTAAAGGAGGTGAAAAAAGGAGACTTACATCGTAGTTGAGCCAGATGGAGAGTGTGCGCATAGCTTCCATGAGGCGGGGCATGTGGCTCATCTCGCTCTCCACCAGCCGCCACTTGCTCTGAGTCACCTTAGTAGGATTCACCAAGTGCAAGGACTAGAACACTCACATCGTAGTTGAGCCAGATGGAGAGGGCGTGCATGGCCTCCATGAGGCGGGGCATGTGGCTCATCTCGCTCTCCACCAGCCGTCCGATGCGCAGCCACATGGGCCACCCCACCTCCGAACCTGGATCGCCCATCCTCTCCACCCGAGCCACTGCCCGAGCCTCGCGGTCAGCCTCGGAGCCTTCGCCGAGCCACTTGTTGAGCACCACCTGTGGAGAGGGAGGGAGGAAACGAAGGGAGGAAAGAAGGGAGCAGGCAGGGAGTGAAGAGAGGGGAGGGAGGGCGGAGGAAAGGAATGGAGAGTTGAAGAGTGCGTGCTGAAATCTCTGCAATCTCTGAAACTCTGGCAGAAATGCCTGAAATCTGTGACACTCGCACGCACACTCTTGCCAAACTCACCCACGCACACACCCCCACTCCACTCACCCGAGCACACACCCCCACTCCACTCACCCACGCACACACCCCCACTCCACTCACCCACGCACACACCCCCACCCCACTCACCCACGCACACACCCCCACCCCACTCACCCACGCACACACCCCCACCCCACTCTCCCGAGCACACACCCCCACTCCACTCACCCGAGCACACACCCCCACCCAACTCACCCGAGCACACACGTCCAGCTCCCGCTCTTCCATGGGAGCCCCCCAGCTGTTGATGCGGAGGAAGTTGAGCAGCACCTCATACGCCCATGCGTGCTGCCTGGGCAGGTGGCATGCTCGCACACAGACAGCCACCCACACGCACTCAAACCCATCTCTCTGATACTTGCACACACACACGATCAGACACACACACGCACACCCAAACCATTGGACACACAAGCACCCCCACCCAACTCACCCGCGCACACAGGTCGAGCTCCCGCTCTTCCATGGGCGCCCCACGGCTGTTGATGCGGAGGAAATTCAGCAGCACCTCATACGCCCACGCGTGCTGCTTCCTCATCTCCTCACTCCTCAGCACCGCTGCCACAAACTCGGAAACATAGGAGCTCTTCTGCTGCTGCTGTTGCTGCTGCTGCTGGTGCTGGGCGGCCGATCGCGGTGTGAGAGCGCGTGGCGTGCACCCCCCGTTGCCAGGTGTCAGCGCGCCGTTCGTCCCGCCGCCCCAGTTGCTGCCGCCGCCCCAGTTACTGCCGCCGCCCCACCCGAACCCGTTACCGTTGTTACCGCGGTTACCGCCGCCGCCACCACCGCTGTAAATGCTGGCAGTGCTGGTAAGGGCTGCAGCAATAGCACCCGCAAAACCTCCACCACCACTAGCTGCAGCAGCACCAGCAGCAGAAGCGGAAGCGCTACGGGCACCAACACTGCTGACAGAAATTTCGCTGCCCGGACCGAGCCCTCCTTCCTGCGACAAAACGTCGTCCTCCACTACCCCAGCCCCGCCCCTGCTGCCCGTGAAACTGCCCATGAAAAAATCCCACCTCTTGCTGCTACTCCCACTCCCCCCTCCTGCACTCCCAACCGCAGCAGGATTCCCACCATCCGCAGCAGCACCTTCCCGGCAGCTTCCAGCGATACTCCTAGTATCCGATTTACTATCCGCCCCTGCTTTCTCCTTATCCACCCCCCCGTGGCTTTGCATGGCAGAACCCCAGGCAGAGGCAGCAGCAAGAGCAGCAGACGCCCACTTGGGAGTGTTCGAACTGAGGAGAGAGACCGAGGAGAGGGCGGCTGGGTTGGGGCTGTGGGAAGTAGTAGATTTCGGACTGCTTTGCTGGTGCTGCTGGTGGTGCTGGTCCTGGTGATCCTGCCCGTGCTGCTGTTGGCTGTGGCTTTGGCTCTGGCTGTAGCGGTGGCTGTAGCGGTGCTGATGGTGGTCGCTGGTGATGCTTCTCGGGCTGGAAACCACACTCGATGGGCCTCCTCCAGGTGTCCTAGGACTGGCCTGAGGTCCGGCGGCGCCGCCGTTGCCGTGGCTGGAGGTTTGGTACCCGGCGAGGCTGCCGGCAGCTTTGGCGCCAAAGCTAGAAGCGCCTGTGCTGACATAGCTGGTGCTGGGACGCTGTTTTTGTGACCCGAAGAGAGAAAGGACCCCTCCCAACGCCCCCCCTCCTCCACCACCCTTACCACTGGCAGGGCCAGTCTCTTTAGCTGAAGCGGAAACCCCAGCTCTCCCCCAAGACGTTGCTGCTCTCTCCGACGTGCCTACTACAGACACGCTGCCGGTTGCACTGCCGCCCGCACTGCCTGCCGCGCTGCCGCCTGCGCTGCCGCCCAGTCCGAGCATCCCCGCCCCGGCAGCTCCTCCGGGCGGTGTGCCGGCCGCCCCGCTCCCGCCGCCCAAGAACCGCACTGATTTCACTGCAGCTGTCAGCTTAGCGAACCTCATGGCCACAGATTGCACCCCACGCCCCACAAACACCATCCTCACAACCGAATCAAACCCCTCTGCACCCAGCCTCCCACTCGCCACCGCCCGCAACCCCGCATGAAACGCCGCCTCCTCCACCCCCATGCCTTCCACCGCCGAAGCTACAGCCATGGTATCGTCTGGGTGCAGGTTCGGCAGGTCCCGCATGGCTGCCGACAGCGTCATAGCCAGCAGGCCCGGGCCGAGGCTGAGCTGAAGGTACAGCCGATCCTGCTCCTCGCATCGCTCCTCCAGGCTCGAGTGCTTGGCAGCGGCTAGGCCTTCAGCTAGAGCAACTTCGGAGAGAGAGGCGAGGGACATGGGGGACCAGGCGGTTCGGAAGGACGGGCCTGGGACAGAGGGAGAGGGCGCGGAGAAGCTGGGGAGCCGGCCACGACGCTTCTTTGGCTGCTTCCGAAGGCTTCCAGTGGTGCTGCTGCTGCTACCCGCAATAGCAGAGGCAGAGGCAGAGGATGCAGATGCAGGAGTGAGAGAGATCTCCTCCCCATCATCTCTTTCCTCTAGTACCACCTCTAACACTTCCCCACCCTCCCCGCCTCCTTCCCTGTCGCACCCACTCGCCTCCTGCCACATCAGCAGCCGCTGCACCGCTGGTGTCGCGGCCGCCATGGCTGTCGCCGCCCGGTCCTCACAAGAGGACAAAATCGCCAGCAGGCACGACACGACAAACGAGCGGCACGCAGGCAGGTTCGCGCCCGCCCGCTTGCCGCCCAGGAGAACAGAAACATTATGAGGGGAGGTGGAACGGGGGGAGGCTGCACCTGGAGGCAGGTGAGAACCAGTGCTGCTGATGCTGATGCTAATACTGGTGGTAATATTCATGGTATCAGCACCAGCACCTGCACCAGCAGCACCAGCAGCATGGATAGGGGTGGTCCAGGGACGCATGCCATAGGTGGGGGAGGAAGGCGTGCTGTTCAAAGGCGTACTGCTGAACCCACCCATACCCCCTCCTCTCGTCGGCGTGCTCCCACCCGCTCTCGTCGGAGTCACCACACCGCTTCCTCTGCTGGGAGTAAGACCACCCCCCCCTCCCCCTCCCCGCTGCTGCTGCTGCTGCTCCAGAAGCCGTTCAAAGAAGGCAATGCGGTCGAGCACGCGCAGGAGGATCACAGCGGCTGTGGCAGGGCGCCACGCGCTGATAGCCGCAGCCACGCCCACAAACAGGAGAATGTCGTCGTGCTGGCACCGCGCCGACAGGAACCGGTCGCTCCCCCCTCCTGCCAATGCGTCCTTCACCAGCCGAGACATTATCGACACAGCTGCCCCTCCTCCTCCTCCTGTCCCTGCTCCTCCTGCTGCTGCTCCTCCCGCTGCTGCTGTTCCCACGCCTGCCCTGCCCCCGTCGGCTCGGCCAGCATCGTCGAACTCAGGCGGCGGGCGCCAGCGCTGCTTGCGGTGTGGAGTAATGGTTAGGGTTGGAGGGGAGGAGAGATCAGAACCACGCGACCCTTCTAGCCCCCCTGCTGATACTGTTGCCCTTGCTGCTGCTGCCCCTGCTGCTGCACCTGCTGTTCCTACTGCCCCTGGCGCTGCAGCAGCTGGAGAGCTAATAGACCCTTGTTGACTCGCCCCACGGCCCAGCCCTGAGGGCACATTCGCCGTGTACGGACGGTGCGATCTGAGCGGTTGCTGCTGCTGCCTATCAGAAACCGACGGCCGGGATTGCTCGCTAGTGAAAGGCCGCTCTGCCCCTGTGGACGCTAGTGCCCTCTCCTCTCTACAAGGAACCCTGTCATCCCTTGCCCTGTCGTCTCTTACCCTCCTGCTGCTACCGCCTCTCTCTTCCCTCTCAAGCCGACTGCTCGAAGCCCTCTCCCTCCTCTCAGCTGACCTGTCTCTCTCCCCTCTCTCCTCTCCCTCCTCTTGCACCCCCTCCGCCCGTGCTTCACCAGACTCGCCGCCCTCTGAGAGAGCAGCAGCAGCAGCAGCAACAGCAGAGGAGGTGATACTATGCCACTGTCCTGCTGCCAGTCTTGACCCCTTGTGCTTCCCTGGCGAATCAATCACTTCTCCTTGAGACACCGCTGCTCCCCCCACAAACAGCTCCGCGCCCCCCGCTCCTCTCCCGCCTCTCCCCCCTTTTCCCCCTCCGCCTGCCCCTCCCCCGCCCCTGTCCCCCGCCCCCTCTCCCCCTTCCATTCCCCCGCCCATCCCATCCCCGTCCTCGTGTACCCCTGCCACAGCAGCAGCAGCAGCAGCGAGATCTGCGTTCCACCCACAGGGGGAGAGGAGGGAACTGCCACTGCACCTGCTGTTGCCACTATCACTCCTCTGCCACACATCCGCCTGCCCATATCCCCTCCAAGCCACTGCACACTCTCCTGCCCCTGCTCCTGCTCCTGCTCCCACTCCTGTGCCGCCCCGTCTCCCCTCTCTTCCTGTCGCTACACCCCCATCCACCCCCCCGCCTGATCCTCCGCCCTCCGCTCCTCCTTCCCCTTCGGGCGACAAGTCGTCATTTTCAGCTGCCCAGGACGGCCGGCCGTCGCCCCATTGGTCCCAGAACTTGAGCCAGACGGCCAGGGCAGCCGTGAAAACTTCGCCGGTGTGGACCGCGGGCAGGTGATCCGACGTCTCGGAAGTTGCCTGGAACTTGCGGCAGATCCACTCAAACTCGCGGTCGGAAGCTGAAACAGAAGACCAGGCTCGGCCTAACCTCCCTGATCGACCCTTCATCCACGAATGCACTGCTCCCGATGCTGCTCCTGCTCCTGCCCCTGCTGCTGTTCCTGCTGCTGATGCTGCTCCGCTTGCCCTTCGCCCTCCTGCTGTACCCCCCATTCCTTCCAACCCCCCTGCCAGAGAATCACGGTCTACGTCCCAGGGACCTGCCCCGACAGTAGCAGGGCGAGCTACTGTCGACCCTGCACCAGCCCTCTTCGTTCTACCCACTCTTCCTCCCCAACCCACTCCTCCTCCCCCACCTCCCCCACCTCCCCCACCTCCTCCTTCGCTAACAACAGACCCCTCACCCGTTCCCCACCTTTCCTCCATCTCCTCCTCCTCTTCCTCTTCCTCCTCTCGCCCCCTCCCTTCTGCACTCCTCCGTCGCCCCACCTCCTCTCCCTCCCCCCCTTCTCCTGCTAGTGCACCCATCAGAACATCCATATACTGAGAAAACAGCAGCGACCAGTGCATCCGAGCCTCCTCGGCTCGGCACCGAGCCTGCGCGATAGGTCCGAACTCCCTGTAGGGGCAGGGAGCATTGGGCCCATCAAGGGTGGAATGCGGGGCGGAGGGTGGGAAGGGGGACTGGGATTGAGGGGAGGGGGGGTCATTGAGAAGAATGCTGAGATTGAGACTCGGCCGGATGGCAGATGCTGGTGTGGATCCTGCTGGGGCTCCTGATGCTGCTGCAGATGCTGCTGCAGATGCTGCTGCTGCTGCTGCTGCTGCTGCTGTTTGTGATGAACCAGAGCCTGCACCCCCCCCTCCTCCACCCTCTCTTCTCCCCTCCTCTTCTCCCTCCTCTCTCTCCAAAGCAGCAGACGCCATATCTTCATCAATATCGCTCAGATTCAACCGCCCAACGGGAATACGTGAAAAGGAGAGTTCCATCGAGCTGCTTCCACCGCCCAGATCTCTCCCACCCCAGACAAACTTCTTGCCCGGCCCAAACTTCCGATCCTCCCTACCCGAACCAGTGACCTTGCTTGGACCAGTCTCCCTGCTTGAATACACCTCTCGTCTCAAACTCCGCCCCTCTTTGCTTGAATCTCTGCTCTCCTTCCCTCTTCTCCCGCTCCCTCTCTCCTCCTCCTCCTCCTCCTCTTCCACCTCCTCCCGCCCTTCCTGCTCCTTCTCCTCCCCTTCTTCCTCCTCTATCCGCCTACCACCCGTCCCCTCACCACCGCTCAGCATCACTTCGAAGCTCAGGTCTGCCTCTGTCCCCTGCCGCACTCTGGAAAGCGCCTGTGGCGGGAGCACGTGCATGCTGCGCGCAGGCGCACTGCTGGTCCGCGCCACTCCGCCCACCTTGCCCCGCATGCTGCTGGGAGGGACAAACTGCATGTCAGCACCCCCACCCTCTCCCCTCCTCTCCTCACCATCCTCTCCCTGCCCCTCTCCCTGCCCCTCTCCCTGCCCCTCTCCCTGCCCCTCTCCCTGCCCCTCTCCCTGCCCCTCTCCCTGCCCCTCTCCCTGCTCCTGTGCTCGGTTCTGCCCCTCCCTCTGCGCCTCTCCCTGTCCATGCCCTCGGTTCAGCCCCTCCCTCTGCCCGTCTCTCTGCGCCTCGCGCCCTCGCCCGTGCTTGCTCCTCCGCATGGGCGATTTCAGCCTCGCGGGCAGCAGCAGCGGGATCACCGGCTGGTGGTCAAACTGCACGCCACACGACGGCGACCGCAGCAGCGGCGACTGGAGCGGGGAGGACGAGGATGCACGCGGGAAGGGGCTATACAGCCCTGAGGAAGAGTCAAGCGAGGAGGAGAGGTGTTCCCCCCTCATGGGGGCAGGGGAGCGAGCCCTCTGGACTATCGTCAAATGCCCCTCCTCCTCCTCCGCCTCCCCTTCCCTCCACGCCCCTGCCTCCGCCTCTCCACTCCTTTCTGCTTCTTCAAGCTCCACTCTACCCTCCCACTCGCCCATGTTGGCCCACGGGTCCCTAGCCTCTCTAGCCTCTAACCCCCCCGCATTGGTATCAGCGCCACTGGTGCCATCCTCGTCTGTCCCTTCCTGGCCCTGCTCCGGGTTGCTACCAAACGACCGCCGCCGCTGCTGCTGCCTCTGCTGCTGCTGGTCTCTCTTCTTCCGCACAAGCGGGCTGTCTAGTCCGGACCTTCCCACTCCCAATGCCCCCAAGCCTCCGCCCGAGCCTCCCCCCGAACCAGCCCCGAGAGCTTCCAGAGCAGCGCGGCTAACAGGAGAGGCGGAGGAGGTTCTGGAGAGGTCCCGAAACAGAGGAGATTGAGCGGAATTCGCTCCTCCTATGCCTCTGCTGCCACCAATCACAGCAGCAGCACCACCTGAGACTGAACCCGCAGCAGCTATGGCACCTGCAGCGGCAGTAGCACCCGCAGCAGCAATGGCTCCTGCAACTGCAGCAGCAGCAGGGACAGAACCCAAAGAGCCTGCACGCACAGGGCTGCAGTAAGCGTCACTGCCACTGGAATCATCCTCTGCCACAGACGACCCAAACGACCCGAATCTCCGCCTCCTGCGCTCCCCACCCTCCTCCTGCGCGCGGCTGGGCGGGCGTGGGGGCACCTGGGGGAAGTTCTTGGGGAGGGATGGGCGGAAGGAGGCGGAGGCGGAGGAGGAAGAGGCGGAGAGGTGAGAGAGGGAGTGGGGTTGCTGGGGCGAGAGGGTGGAGGGGAGCTGGTGCAGATGCTGCAGTCGGTGGTGCTGGTGCTGGTGATGCTGCTGGTGGTGGTAAGGTTGCTGATAATGGAGTGAGGAGGGGGATAAAGCGGTTTCACTAGCAACAGCAGCAGCCGCAGCCACAGCAGCAGCAGCGGCACTAGAACGACCGCCAGTACCAGAAGAAGGGCTGCGGGCCCTACCAGCAGCGGAGGAGAAGAGAGCCAGAGCAGCACTATCCGCCCCGTGACTAGCTGACCGCACGTGACTCCTGGGAGGTATACTTAAACTGCCTATAACACCCGCCACATGGTGTGGCGCTCGAGGGGGGGTCCCACTACCCTCCACTCGCCCTGCTCCCGCTGACCCAAGCGCTCTCTCCCCCCACCCCCCAGCCCTCACCCCTCCTCCGCCCCCCAACGCAGCAGCTCTTCTTGCAGCAGCAGCAGCGGCGGCTGCCTCTCGGACTCGCAGCCACTGGTCCTCGTCCCGACTGCCCCCTATCCGCCCGTCACACGTGCTCGATCGCTCTATTGGCTCTGGGCTCTCCCAGCCGTCCTCCTCTTCTTCCTCCTCCTCCTCTTCCTCCTTCTTCTCCTTCTCCTTCTCCTCTTTCTTCTCCCCTTCCCCCCCATTCCCCTCCATTTCAGTTTCCTGCTTCTTCTCCCCATCCCTCATGCTCTCCCTCGTACCACCCACCATAGGACCAGCAGGTTCCGCATCAGTGCCCATTCGGCCAATCCGACCTTCCGTGACGCCACCCGCGCCACCACCGTTTAAATCACTCTCCATACTGTCACCCGAACCTCGAACTGCTACATCCGTCCCCCAACCTTCCGCCCTGGCACCCGTCTCCGCTTCTTCCGCCCCGAACCCCTCTTCTTCCCCGCCCCCCCTCCTCAGTAACTCTTCCCCCCGAGGCACTTCCGCCCGTGGCGCTTCCGCCCGTGGCCCTTCCCCCCGCGGCCCTTCCCTAACCGGCTCTCCTCCCCGCGGCCCTTCCCCCCGCGTCCCTTCCGCCCGCGCAGCCGCCTTGCGCTGCTCCTTGATCTGCCGGCGCTTCTCAAGAATCGCCTGAATCACTGTCCTAGCCTCGTCCGTTCCCTGCCCGCTCCCGTGCGCCTCCTCACTCAATGCTATCGACTCCTCACTCGAGTCGCTCCCCCTCTCCGCCCCCACCGCCCTTTCCGCCCTCTCTGCTCTCTCCGGTCTCTCCGCCCTCTCCGCCCTCTCCGCCCTCTCCGCTCTCTCCGCTCTCTCTGCTCTGCCCAGCCTACCCTCGCAGTCTGCCTCACCTTCCGCCATCCCCCTTTCCGCATCCCCTTCCGCCTTCCTCTCCCCCTTCCGCCCTCCGCCCGCCCCAACGCCCCCTTCCCCGCCACTGCTCCGCAGCGCCTTCCGCTCTTCCCGCCGCAGCTGCAGACTGTGCAGACGGTGAACGCGCTCGCGAATCTCCTCTCCTTGTAACGCGTCAGCCATTGTCGGGGACAGGGGCGGAAAAAAACACCCTTTCAAAGACCCCCCTCGGGCCTTAAGCCGCTGCGCCAGCTCCCCTTTCCCATACGCCCGCGCCAGCTCTTCCCTCTCCCATTCCCCATCTACCCCGGTTACTCCCCCCATTGCTCCCCCTTCGCCCCCGCGTTCCCCCTCCCCGCTCGCCCCGTTCCGCCCCTGGGGGAGCTTCAGCGATAGCCCGAGCCTGCGGCTGAGCGCCCGCTTCGGCGAGGCGGCGTTGGTTCGGATCCGAGGCAGGGCAGGCACGGGGAGAACCTCGTGCATATCCTCTCCTCCCTCTGACACCTGTAACGAATCAGACGAGCTATCCTCGTTACAGCCCTCCGGTTTCTTGCCGCTGCTGCCGCTGTTGGCGTTGGCGTGGCTAATGCTGATGCTGTTGCTGCTACTGCTGCTGCCGTAACCGCTGCTCTTGTTCCGCGAGGTGAGGCTGCTACTAGAGCGCCTCATCATGCCCCCCCCTCCGCTCTGACCCAACCCGGCCCCCCCGCTTCTGCTACTCTCGCCGCTGCTACCCACCTTCCCGCCACCACCGCCGCCGCCGCCGCTGCTGCTGCTGCGAGAAGCGATGCTACTGCTGCGGGAGAACACGCCCCTGATCCCCCCCAGCCCCCCCTCCCCGCGCGCCTTCGCCTGCCGTTTCTTCTCCGCTGCGATGGCGGCCGCGCGCGACGGCGGGGGAAAGAAGTCTGCCTGGCGGCTGGAGCCGCCGGAAGAGAACGACTCAGACATGGCCTTTCTCTCCGGAAACTGCGGCTTCTCTGGAGTTTTCGGGCGCGCGTGGCGGAACATGCTGGGTCTGCGCGCGGGCTCCGGGTCCGTGCTTCCGCGGTGGTCATTATCCGGAGACGCGGAATGCGCGGAGTTTTTCCTGCTTCCGCTTCCGCCGCTGGCGGGGCCATTACTGCTACTGCCGCTGCGGTGGATATTTCTCTCCTCCTCTTCGAAGCTCCTCCTCCTTTCGCTCACATACCCGAACGATGCGGAATAAAACGGCCGCCGATGCGGAACCTCAGGGCCGGCATCCGAGCCTGCCGAAACTTGGCCCTTCCGAGGCTCTGGAACGGGCTCGTCCGGGCCTCCGTCGTCCCTCCCATTGGTGCTGTGCCGCCTCCGGAGGCTCGGCATGCGCCACGTCCGGCCTTTTTTATCCTCCTTAAAAGACCCTCCGTCACCGTCATCTCCTTGCTTCACCAACGCTCTCCGCCTCCTTCCACCGGGACTCTTAACCACATTCAAGCTCGTGGTTTCTGCTTCTAAATCTGCCGGATAAGGCCCGCCAGACCCGCCGTGAGAGTCGGTGGTAGATAGACTACTCTCTGAAGGAAGGAAACTATGGCTGATGACATCATTAGGTGAATTAGTCCCTTTCGACCCACGATACGAAGACTCCTCTTCATAGGTCGTAATCACCGTCCTGCCGGAATTTGTGGAAGCCTTTACACCCGACGCGCGACTCCTGCCTTCTACCCGTGCCGCTGCAATCCGCGCTTCGAAGTTAATCTCCTCGCACGGGTCGGTTCTAGACTGCGGGATGTACTTCGGATGCGCTGCGGGTCCTACAGTTGAGTTAGGGTTCGCTGTACGAGGCCTGCTGACGTCACCCTGCTGATTCTGCTGCGTGTTCCACGTCACAGACCTCGGGACTGCCGAGCGTGGGACTAAAACTGTCTCATGGTAGGTATTTGACGACGCCACGTGGCCCGTTTTGACAGGCCCGCCGGAGTATGCTCTGTCAAGCTCAGTATTGGATGGCATTGTCGATTTTTTTCTAGGCGCATCGCGGCGCGACGCCTCGTGCTGCGATGCTAGCTGCTGTCGGGATGTCTGGTGCGGCGATGGTGAGCCTTGGTGCTGTGCATGAAGGAATGACGGCGATGGCAGCTCAAACGGTAACACCGATGTCCCGCTGTTCTTCGCCATCGCATGTCCCAGCAACTACTGAGCTCATGGGAGAAAATGAGTTAATAAAACCTAATCTATCACTTTCTAACTGCTTTAGGAACCTAGTTTGGCACCGACTGACGAGGTAATCTCCATCCTCATTCCTCACCCAAGAATATCCATTCCCAAGGTCCAGCAAAACATCAGCACGAAACAGTTTCCTGGTTTGGTTGGTCTGGAGAAATTGGCTCTATCCTGTGCCGTACGTACAGTACGCACACACACAGACACACACCTGTTGCTGGTTGGTTCGGTTCTGTCTGCTTGCATGCACACACAACAGTCCTGGCTTTTAGGGGGGAGGTTCCGCGGAAAGGTGGAAGACTGCTCTGCCAGTGCCGAGCGCATGGTGCGGGAGGGAGCCCAGCCGTGGTGCACCTCGCCTCGACTCGACCCTCGGTGGTTTCGCGGGAGGAGGGATTGGGGGAGAATGGTGCGGGGGAAGGGGGCAAAAAGACATCAAGAATTGCTGCGTTGGCGGGACGGTTGGGGAGGAGGAGATACTACTGAAACGAAAGGGCAAGGAGGCTCGGGAAGCGAGGCTCGGACGGGTCGCGGAAGAACCCATCTGCGCAATTCGTTGTGCTGCGCGGGAAAGCACTACTGGGAAAGACCAGGCAGGGAACGAAAAAAATCCCGCGACCAGGAGCGCAAGCGCATGCTTGCGCCAGCGAAGTTTGGTGAAGGGGGTGTTCAGCTTTCGCAAGAACATGTCTTTCTGCACGCCAGCTCATGGAAATGCAGGTACACGAGTAGGACAAACTGGCTGATGAAACGAACTACAGTGTCCATAGGCTAGGCTTGGGTTGGGTATGCTGTGGGGAATCGGTGGGTTGGGTGTGCGTTCCCATCTGTACGGCCATTATTCATGTAGCGAGTATCGACGGTCGAGAGTGCAGTCATTGGGTTTGACGAGCCAATCTCCTTCCTTTTGTGTATGGAGGGAATCGCCTTCCAAGGCTCGAGAGAGTGCTTGTCTGTTCAATAGCTCATCAGAATCCTGAAGTGCTTGTTTCAAGCAAAGTAACTGTAGTCCATGAAGGCATGATACCGTAACCTCAGACTAAATCTACAATAACATCTGGGTAGATGCTAGAGAGTAGTGCACCACTGAGTACATTTGCAATATTTTGTTCCAAAATGGTCTAGCTACATAGAGGATAGATGGAAACAAATCACCCCGTTAACAGGGCCAAAAGTCCCCACAACTTCCTCATCAGCCAACTCTTCACATGTTACAGCACGTAATAATTGCGAAGGTAAGTCATCACAAACAAAGGCATTGGAAGGCATGCACCAATAAATTACCGCAGGCTCACAGCCCACATGCAATATACACAACATCAAGTGAGTAGAACAACACAAGTTTACAGGCAGCACAGCACGATAAATAATCAAGAAATCCCATGCGTATGGACCAATGGGGAAAACTGAAATCAAGAGGAAATACAATAAGAGCAACAGTTGCAAACCTGCAGCTGTAAGAGCTTCAAATTCAAATGGAGCCTCCACTCAGGTGCCGAGAGCAAATGGGGCGATGCAGTATACCATAGCAAAGGAGGTATCTCAAAGCAATCTCATAGCAGCACTAAGAGGAAAAGTTGCAGACGTTGCAGTTGATGGTGCTGTTTGCCGGCTCCCCGCAGGTGCCGGAGAGGGGTGCAATGCGGTAGTTGCACTTCTCGCTCAGCCTGCCAAAGCACGTGACCTGCTTCCACATGGCCGGGCGCGGGTTCAGATAGCAGCAGCCGTCGCACTCCAGATCTGCACGCATCAACATTGGAGTGCGGAAAAAGGGAGGGGGGGAAAGAGAGGGGAGGGAAGGGAAGAGTGGGGAAAGGGGGGAAAGAGAGTTTGGAGATGACAAGCGTGTAGAACAGATGGGGAAGGGGATAGCAGGTGCGGAGAGATGGGGCATCAACAGGTAGAGGGATAAAAGTGTCAGCTGGAAGGGAAACGGAGAAACCACGAGAGGGTGGGAAAATTGCCAAGGGATGGTGAAGGGAGAAGGATGAGTTCCATGGAGGGGGATGCTGGACGGAGAGCATCAGCGGCAATGCGTAAGGAACAACGAGGCGACTATTATCCAAGCCCACGAGAGAGAGAAAGATAGAGATGGAGAGAGAGAGAGAGAGAGAGAGAGAGAGAGAGAGAGAGAGAGAGAGAGAGAGATGGAGAGAGAGAGATGGAGAGAGAGAGATGGAGAGAGAGAGATATGGAGAGGGAGAGAGAGGGAGGGAGGGCGAGAGGTGGGAGACAGAGGGAGGGGGGAAAATAGGGAGAGAGAGAGAAAGAGAGAGAGAGAGAGAGAGAGAGAGAGAGAGAGAGAGAGAGAGAGAGAGAGAGAGAGAGGGGGGGGGGGGGGGGGGGGCGGCGGGGGAGAAAGGCCGGGAGGGGAGGGGGGTGCGGGGAAGTGATATGCATATTGTGTTTGAAGTCGATTGCAAGGCCACCCAAGAAGAGAGACAAGGGTGACCCGAAAAGCGTTGAATGGGGCCAGGTCGGGGCAGGAGTACAGGGAAGCTAGGGTCGAGAAATGGAAGTGACGATTTGAGGCGCGTAAAAAGCAATGACAGACAGAAACGGTGTGTAACACACGCACAAGACAGGCGAATGACGAGCAGTGCTAGGCACATCCACGAAACGCGGGCAGCGAACAGCGTAGCACACATCGGTGACAAATCAGGCATGCGGTCGCAAAGCAAGAAAAACCTATCTAGACGGACAGTGCTACAGGAGGAATCGACAATGCCTCGCGGTTCCTCACGGCATGGACTCCCAGCGGTTACAGCGGCGAATCTACACGGCACGCCGCCAATCAGAAGCAGAATCAGGGGAACAAAGTAACGCGAACACTAACCTTTTTGCACGATGTTGCACGAGGAGTCAACCATGTACTCGCAGTTCCCGTTCACGGCGTAGAATCCGAGAGGCGGCAGCGCAGCATCCATGGGACTCGGGAAGTCCTCCTGGAATCCGTTGAACCAGAACGGGGTGAAAGAAACTTCGCCCGTATCCGCGTCCTCGTTATAAGTGCACAGCCAGAAGACGAACCAGCCGTTGTGAAGCGAGTACGGGGATGCGAGAGTATTGGCAGCAGGCAGAACGCCGCCGTAAGTGGTAGCGGCGGAGATGAGCGGGGAATGGTGGAGGAGGAGCAGGAGCGAGAGGATGAGAGGGGTCGCGAGTTTACTCAACCGAGGCGAAGACGGGGGACGGGACAGCGCTAGCTGCGGTTGTGAGAAAGCCATAATGCTGACAAGGATATGGCGGATAAGATTCTATAAATGACGAGAACTGAGAGTTTCTAAGAATGCGTTGGACAAGTTACGAAGGGGGTTGCGAGAGCAGGGAATGTTGGGAGTAAAAACGAACACGCGACTAACAGGCACAAGAAGTACCAGAGGATAATGTTTCACCGCTCAACCGAAAGATCCAGGGATGCACTACGCAAGGCTAGCGCGGCTCAGACGACTAACCGGCCTTCAAAAAGGAAGAAAGGGACCAATAGTCGCTTGCGGACCACTAATCTCAAAGACGATTTGACGTTCTGTGGGTGGGAAGGTAAAGTAGAATTCCTAGGGTTCGTTGGAACTCCATCAACCAAGCTCTGTGCAATTCAGCATGGGTGTCTGGACTGGAGTCTGGCTGGACCCTGGACTCTGCTTGCTCTGTTCTGCACTGTCCTTAGACTCCATTCCCCCAGTGTCCTGTCTGTGCGCACCCAGCCCCCTCCGTGCTGCTTGTTTATGCTGCGCCTGAGCATGCTAGTTCCGCCAAGGAGGGGTCACTTCACCACCGCGCATCGGCGGAGCTGTCTTGGGTAGGGTGGTTCACTGGGGTCGGGGACTCGGGGTTGTGGGGGTTGCGGCGGAGTGGTGCGCGGCGCAGGTGGTGGCGGATTCGGGGGAGGTGCCCCTGCAACCACACGGTAACTTTGTCGTTTAGCGCTCGATGGTCTCGAGGATAGAGGATACACATTGTTGTCACACCGTGTCCGACCTTTCCACACCGTACAATCCCCCACTGCTTGTTATTCAGAATACTACTTATGTTGTTATCACTTCACTACCTCCACTTCAAAAGCCTTTTGAACATTCCTTCCTCCTACCAGTATTCACCTGTATCGGTCTGTGGGTACTTAGGCACATCAGCGATTCTGATTTGAGGTGAAGCATCTGAAT